TATATATAAGCACTTGTTAAAAATTACTATATACAAAAATTCATTGTGAAAAAATAGATTTTACCATTACTTAACTTTTAATTAATTTATTTTCTTCCATTAGTTTATTTTTTTTAATGAGAAATGATAGACACAAACTTTTTTCCCTTTTAACTGATTTTATATGTAACTAAAATACTACAAATATTTGATTTAGGATTTTAATGGAAATTACTAATTTCAGAGTTTGAGATGCAGTGTGGAAAACATAATACAAAAAATTGTTTTTGTTTATTTTTAAATATATTTTTATTTCTATACGAATTTATTGATACATAATTGTTTTGAAAAAATATAACACATAATTGTTGAAAAAAAATGGACAGTATTTTAGCCTACAATTTGGAAAATTAAAGTGCACGATAAAAAAAAGTAGGACAATATTTAAGCATACAATCCTGAAAACTAAATTTCATGCAAAAGGATAAGAGTTAATTTTAAATTTTATTCCCAAAATCCCAGGTGCTCACTTTTATTCTGGACAGATATTGGCTATTTACTGGTCAAAATGTCCACTGGGGAAAATCTACTATAATTTTCAGTAAGAACAATCCACAGTCTTTGCAACAAAGCATTTTCAACTGCTTGCAATTAAACCTCACAATTCTTGTAGATATCTTGGACTTCCTCTGGGCATTAGAAAGTCCAAGAAGGAGGCTTTTGAATATGTTTTGGAGGCAGTCAGAGCTAAATTATCTAGCTGGAAGAATAAACTCTTAGCTGCTACTGGGAAAGAAGTGCTTATAAAAGCTGTTTTGAGTGCACTACCAATTTTCACAATGGCTTGCTTTAAAATCCCTATATCTGTAGCCAAGGAGATCTCAAGGCTTTGTGCACTTTTCTGGTGGAGCAGGGGAGATCAACAAGATAAGGGGCTGCACAGGAAATCTTGGCATTCCTTATCAATACCCAAGAGTGAAGGTGGATTGGGTTTTATGGATGTGCTGCTTTTTAACAAGGCTTTGATATGTAAGCAGCTTTGGAGAATTACCTCCCAACCAGATCTGCTTGTGAGTCAAATTCTAAAATGTAGATATTTTCCCTCTTCTTCTATCTTTGAGGCACACAAGTCACAGCACAACTCTTGGTTATGGAATTGTTGGCTATCTGTTCTTCCTGAGTTTGCTAGGGGTTACAGAATTGTTGTGAGAATTGGAGCAAGCACAAAGATAAATGAAGCCAATTGGGTGCCAAATCTGGGAAAGCTGAGACCTGAGTTGTTACCTATTGCAAGAGGTCATATTGTCTGGGTGAAAGAGCTCTTTGATAACAATGGGACTGAATGGAATAAATGGCTGGTAAAACAATTATTTAGGGCAGAAGATAGCACAGCCATTTTAAAGATCAACACTCTGAATCCAGACATACCTGACAGGTTAGTTTGGAGTCTTCACAGCAAAGGAAAATTCACTGTCTCTTCCATCTACTCTGATCTGATCCTTAGGAAGGTTCAAAGCCTTGACATTCCTAAGGGGAGTTCAAACTCCAAGGCTATCAAAACCATGAGATCCAGAACTTGGAAATTGAAAGTCCATTCAAAAATCAAGCATCTGATATGGAAATGCTGTTCAAGGGCACTGCCAGTTAAAACTGCTCTTGTATTGAAAG